CGTAAACCAAACGAGGGTGCTGATGGGCAATGGAAAAAAGGATTTGTTCTTCACAAGTCAAAGAGCGAGGAGGTAAAGTGACTTTCAGTATTTGCCAGTACCCAGGCTGTGGAGGTTTTTCTATTGCTGCGCATTTCTGGGAGTGCAAGCTCCATTCTTTGAGACTCTGACCTGCAGCTAAAAGTTTATAACGTGGGGACAACATTTCTCTTACTAAAACTGACATTCTGCAGCAGCAGAAGCAGCTGTTTTATGTGGTTGGTTTTGGTGGTTGGTCTGTGCCCTTGGCTTGGTGAATATTGGGATAAAATCTAGAGATGGGACTGGAATGCTGCTGCATCCAGGGAAGGGTTGGAATACTGCTCCATCCCCTCCAAGGCAGGGAGCTTTGTAAGGACTGTCTCTTGGTGAGCATTTTAGAACAAGTTTGTCAATATCAAATTTATGTCTTTGCTTTTTGTGGAGTACACAGGTGTGTGGTGCTTGCCAAACCTGATTGTTGGAGAAATACTGGTCCTGCCTCTGACACTTAATACCCAAACTGTCTATCTGAAGTTTATAACACGGGTATCTTCTTTTTTAATATTACATAGATGAGTGTCCTTGAAGGTTTTGAGAAACCAAGTGAAATACATTTGTATGCTGCAGTGATATTCAACATAATTGCTGTAGAATTAGTTTAAATTTGCAGTTTCTCAAGCATACTAATTTCAGTCCTTGCCAAATTTTAATTACTCTGTTCCAAGATAGTGAGAGTGGCAAGGAGGGATGTACTCTTTCACTTCCGAGGGGAGGGAAGTGCTGAGAGCTCACTTTGCTAATACAGAGCTGTGTTAATCTTTGCTTTTAATCTTTGTTTTTAACACTGTAATATCTTTAGTGGGGCACTGTTAATTGGTAGCTTGCAACTTTGTATACCAGATGGTTCTGACTCCCTTTGAAGTAACTATGTAATACTCTGTTGGTCTTCTAATACCCATTTCTGCTTTTTTCACATCTTTTTAGTTGTTTCTTGTAAGCTGGTGGCATAATACAGGTGGGGGAGGCACTATTTGGTCCTTTGCAGTGAAGACTCCCATTTCTAATCTCATTGAACTCAGAATGAGTCTGACTTTGTGACAGTCGTGTTGTTTTCTTTTCTTGGTGTGTAAGGTAGTTCAGTTCTTCAAATGATTGTGCATCTTTCTGTTAAGCTGTTCAGTGTTTGAAGTGTTTATTAAATACCACTTTCTCTGTCTTATGTGGAAAAAGAAAATTAGTTAAACTTCATGAATTGCTGTGTATTAAAAGAGTATATTTAAACAGAAATATTTATGTACTTTACCCAGATTTACTAAACCTGTAGTCCTGCAAGTGTGTCAGGAGATACCCCCGAGCCTCAGTCTCTCCCCAGCAGATTTATTTGTACTGAAGACAGTCTTTTTTAACATTCTCTGCATTTTTAACATCTCTGCATGTATGAGAGTATAAGAAGATGGTGGTACTCTAGAGTAATTTAGAAGCTAGAAAGATCCATGCTGTATTTTCCATTTGAAAAATGAATTGGTGGTTAATTCAGAAAATAAAACCCAAACAAAACCAATGAGAATAATCAAATGGTTAACTCAGAAAAACCCCAAACAAAACCAATGAGAATAACTAATCAAATTACTTTCATGGAAAG